AAAATTCACAGAGTATGCAAGAAATAAGTAGTTCTCTTGCTGTCTTACAGAGAGGATCCAAGATCACAGAGTTTATTATGCTGTTAGAAAGTTGGCCCGGCCTACGGCTGTCCTCCCAAGGCCAACTTCTCTTTCAGTCACACGTGTCTTGAAAAGACACGCAGGAAGATCCTCACTGATCACTGAACTGTGGTCCAACATGGAACAAATCCATTAACCCAGTAATCTTGTCCTGCAGGTCTTTGGGAGAGGCTGGCCCAAACCTAATGCAACTTACTGATTGCCTGAGGAAAGTGAATGATTTGGTGGTTCTTGTCTTTTCTGGTTAAAGGCTCTTGCAGACTAAGCTGGAGTTTCTTGTAGGGGAATAGGTTTATATAGAAATAACCCTATTCCCAAGCTGAAACAGAAAGGGGCAGAACATCACATATGTGAGAAGCTATGGAGACATCAATATCTCCCTTCTTCTGGGAGCTCTGAACGGGATATATTAAACCTGCCTTTTTTCCTGCCTAATAAATATTGTCTAGTGGACAATATTTACACCACGGTATTGAGAACCGCATCACGCATTCCTCGCACGTCGGGAGCTCTCACGCTCCCCTTCCCAGCGCTCCTATTTCCATTTACCTGCTGCGGCTCTACCCAGCGATAATTAGCACGGGTCTCGGTGTCAGCATAACAGATTATTTGGAAATTGCCAGAACGTTTTGTGGTGACGGCTTTTGTTTTGCAATTTCAGAGCTCCTTCCTTTGAATATGTAAAAGTAATTTCACCTTTTGCTACGAGAGGTGATAAAAAGCTAATAATAACACTGTGGCATCTACTGTAATATAAAAGTCTGTCTACCAGGTTGCACCTTGCCATAATTTCCTCACAAGGCTGCGAGCCAAAGCCAAGTCTGTGATTGAAGTGACACTTCTCAAGCGACTGAGCTACAACGTGGAGAGCGAATGCAGGTGCTGATCAATGCACTTTAGACCTGCATTGCCTGACTCTCATTACAACCATGATGACGCATTCAAGACCAAGACATTAATTTACCTGTGTAGTTGCTGACATTTTGTCATTTCAAAGAACAGTGTTTGCATGAAAAGGTTAGGGAGAAATGGGCAGGTTCATGTAATCCATGCAGGAAAGCAGAAATAAATGGTCCCTCCAAGGAATGGCACGTTAAAAATTCTCCCTAGAAGCTCATGGTATGAAGCCCTTGGAAACTTGTTCAAAATCTCTCCTATGTTGTGGGTTTGGTGACCATGACTTCAATATCAGTGTCCCATTCTACCAGAAACTAGCCCTTGTAGTTAAGATGTTGTAGGACTAGTCTGACCAATCTCCCCCTTTGGTTTTTATTCAAAATCCCCTCGTGGGGCTTGTGGGCTTGCCCAGTGTGACGATCTCGTGCACTGTGCCCCCCTCACCAGGGGCAGCCTGGCCGGGAGCCCTGGGTTGGCTCAGGACAAAGGGCAGGGGAAGGACAAAATTGGAGCAGGGTTTTGTGTCAAGCAAATTAGTTTGTTCTTCCCCCTCGAGACCGTAGGAAACTGCAACAGCTGTTTAAGTAGACCTTGCTGATTATGTTCATTAGAGAGCAACAGCATGCACGTACACCAGCAAATAATTCAATCTTGGTTCATCCCTACCAGTACCAGGGCAGCGAACTGTGCAGCACTGAGGCCAGGGAGGAGGATCTAACAGCTGGGGTGCCAATGTAACTTGAATTTGTGCCAGATAACCTGACAATAACCTAAATAAATAATAGTCTCAAGGATTTTCCCCTGTATTGTTATTAGCTAAGCCTCAGATGTGCTTTAACGTGTGACTTGCCACAAGTGGTTGAAAAGCTTGCTCAGCCCGCACCAGAGAGGAGCCTTCCTGTCCCTAAATGAGGTGGTAGTGCAGGTTTGACTCTCCCTTTTGCCCTAGCGGGTCTTTCTGGAGGATGGTTCTGATCCCAGGGAGCATTTAGGAAAGGTTCGGTGCCGCGTGAGCGGCGCACACGTCACTGCGCAGCGATGTGCGATCAGATCTCGAGGTGAAGATAGGCCTAAACGCTCTGAGCATCCGGGTCAAACAATTTTCATTCTGAGCCTTGTTTATATTCTCAAGGTGTGAACTTTGCGGCAGTTAATGAGGTGAAGCTTCAGGTAAGGAGGTGGGCTCAGTCGCCACCAACCCAACTGCTCTGCACGCAGCTTTGCAAGGCCCTCGGTAAGGGTCCCCCAAGTTGTATCCAGCACCTTAAATCCTACGTGTAGCTATACAGTATTTCAGAAATCTTTTAAAAAAAGATATTCTGAAATAATTAATATATCGCACCAGGTGATTAATGGTGTAAAATAACATTCATATCCCAGTGTCTAGAGGATGTTATATGTATCAGCCTAAGGTCAGCTGAAGTCTTCTACGTTTCTACCAAGGGAAGGAGGGATGATGACGATAAAGTTCCTAGGAATAGAGAAAGCTTTTAATTGAGAACTATAAACCTCAATGCGTAAGAGGTGAATACTAGAACAGACCAAAATATTGGGGTTTGTTGGTTTTTAGGAAATCGTGATTTGGGGGCTCAATTCATGGGGTTTAAACATCTGTGTCTGCTTTGTTGAGACTGGAGTTTTCTTTCTGTGCTAGTCTTCACACCAACACAGTTTTTAGCACACTCGCTACTTTCTGGCTTTTGAATGTCAGTAGTAGGCTGAACATAATCATCCCTGACTCGGAGGAAGAGATTTAAGAGGAAAACTCGTTTAACTCTGTCAGCCAAAACCCTGGAGTGAGTAAGCAACTGGAACTCTCAGCAAGCTGGAAGAAAACATGAAATTGTTATGCTTAAAAAATAAATACAGGGTTGGAAAAAAATGAACTGGAATAGGAATGGGTTTATTATTTTTAAGAAGAGGGGAAAAAAACAGTTTTTGTAATAAATTATCTGTTTTGCACAATTAGATCACAGATTAGAAGTGGCCATGAATAGCATCTGAATATACCGTGCTTCAAAGACAGAAAATTCAAATTTTAGTCCTTCCCCTGGAAAGGATAAAGGCAGACTTTTCTGATGTATTATTTAACGCCTGTTATGTAGTGCATTAAGTAGTCACAGAGAGCAAAGCTTTTAAAAACCAACAGCCTCTCTGGTAGCATTAAATATTACCTTAGATTTTTGGTGAAGTCAATATTAAGAAAATAAATGAATTAATACATTTCAGGCTGCCCAATTTATAGAGACCAATCAAGTTACAATGCTGGACATGGCCAAGTGAAAGAGGGGAATAGATTTACCTGAGTGAGGTCTTAATTTAATCAGCTGGCCCCAGAGAGCTGAAGTCAGCAGGCTGGGATGATATAAGAGGCAGCAGAGAAATAGTGCCTTTCCCGCAGTGGGGAAGGAGAGTGACAGTGATGGAAAGGAGTCTCGGCAGTGTCAGAACGCACCTATTTCCATGATTTATTCTTAATTTGCTTTAATGACAGCGTGAAGGTTGTCCATTTTTCTTTAAGTGTCCCCGGAATACTGATACCTTCTATACGTTTGCAGCATGCGCTTCCCGCACGCTTCTCTGCTAGCGCCATTGCAGGCTGCAGCGGAGGGGAGCGATGTCTCCATCCCGCCGGAGGGAATTCCGGCTGCGGCACCTTTGCGGCAGCCGGTGCTCCTTCTCCATAGAGTCAACCTTGAATCGGTTCGAGGAATCATGAGTTCCTCAGGGACTGATACTAAGATAAAAAAGGACAAATTCATTGCATTTCTGTTACAGTTCGTAGTGCCAAAGAACAATGTGTATTTTTGCAATACAATAGCTCATTTTTATTATCAAGTGAGTTTATTGATGGTTGTTCAGAAGTACTGACATGCAGACAATGAGCTCAGATTGCATTTACATTTCTGGAATACTTTCCATCTTTCCACTTTCTGCCAGGAACTTGCTTCTGTGATTCAGAGTTTTTATTTTAAGATTGGACGGTTGTTTAATCTGCATTCCAAATCTGTACTTTTTGCTTTCTGTGTGAATGTTCATTGCATTCATTAATACCACAAAAATCCCTTAAGCTTGGACCAAAACAATTACTGCTAATTTATAATTTCTTCCAGGTAGGCATTTGTTTTTACCAGACACTTGGATATTTTATAGATTGACTGTAAAACTACTGTCCCATCATCAAAGGAAATTATGATTTTTCCCCGAGTGCCTGTGAAAGGGAGCAAGGGCAGAAGTAGCTCAGTAACACATACATAAAGCTTAGCAACATGAAGATAACTGCAGACCTCTATCAGTCATTATCTCATTTTAAAAATCCAAATTTATTTTTTTTTCAAGGAAAACTTTCTCACCTTCTTACAAATCCTGTATATAAAAAAGTTCCAAAATGAATGAGTTTTGAGGGACATTAAGGCCCTATGACTTTACTACTTTCAAAACGAAACAGAAAAATCCTTGCCCCTACTAGGAAAATCATGGAGAATTTTCTCTTTGTCAACACTCTTCTTGCCCATATCGATGAACAAGGTGTAGGAGACACCTATTTGCTTGCTTGTGCTGGCAGTCTGTCTTGCCACCTTCTCCAAGGTCCCATGTTGCCTGCAAGCTAAGAGCAGCAGCAGGACAGGAGGAAGGCAGGAAGTTGACTCCTGGGAGAAGTTGGCTGCTCACAAACTCGGTCGCTGTTTCCCTAGGGCATGTTGCGAAAAAGTCATTCCTAACACTGTGGTTTGCACTATGAGCTGGATCCATTCCAGGTGAATGAAGGTCGCTGGCGCCAGAGGAAGCCTGGTCTGTGGCCCAGCGCGGGGCGTCCATCACGAGGCCTTGCCTGTGCCTACGTGCACAGGGAGAGCAGAGCTGCTGAGCAAGACTGGTGCTTGGCACAGCTCGGCCCCCCTCGCTCTCCCTCCGTGCTTCCGTTATTCCGGCTGGTGTAGAATATTCTCCAGCAACAGGCAGAACTTAAAGCCACGACTTGAGTTGCGCGATTAATCTCACGTTTACTTTCCTGTTTTCAGATGGACTCAAGAAAACCCATGCAGAAAACAGGAACGAACCCAAGCCAACTGTGAAAAAGACTGACACCACCACCACCACAAGCACCGTCAAGTCCTCCTCCAAACACACTGTCCCCGGCAAGGGGAGCAGCGCGGGCCCGGCCTCCTGGCTCTGCGTCGTGGCGGCGCTGGCCGCCCTGTGGCACGGGCCGCTGTAGCCGCGCGGCCGCGGTGCCGGCGTCCCTGCTCACTGTCATTGACACCCGCAGCCTTACCCACCCGAAAGCAAAGTCCAGGGGCTCTCCAGCTCGCGGGGCCCGTTGGGAAGCCTCCTCGCGCGCAGTGCCTGCAGGGGGCTGCCACGAGCCCGCCCGAGGCACCAAGGGAAAGACCACCCGGGTCTCAGTGGCTTAACTTATTGGGTAGAAATAACTGGGAACCCGGAATTTGTAAACGTGCGTGTTACCATTTTTCTCAGTTTTGTTCACTGGATAATCTGACTCGTTGGTTGTGGTTTTTTTATTTTGTTTTTCTTTTTTTTTTCTGATTAAATGCGTGGTTAGTCTTCTATTCAAGGCAATACACACACTGTTTCTCTAGTGAACAGCTAATAACCCGTGTCTCCAGTAGCAAACGGTGCTGAAGTTGAGTACTCTGTACCAGCTGGAGGAAAGTCCAAAGTGGTGGAGAAGATCAGAGCATGTTTGAAGCTTCTTTTCACTCTGTTTAGATTGTAGAAAACAACATAAAACATATGGTGTGTCTAATATATCAGTATAGTTGCCTTAACCTTGGAAAAATTAGAAATACTTGGTTTACTGAAAGTGAGTTTCCCTCCTGCCCCAACTGCCATTACCATATACTTAAGCATATGCTTGAGGTTTATTGGATGAATGTCTAGCAGTGGGGAACATAAACATAATGCTGTTTTTATCTGGTTGAATGCAATTCTGTGTGGAGAGGGGAAAAAAAAGATAATTAGCTCAAACTTACTTTGCCTATAGGATGTTAAAGAGGACCTGCCTTCAGTTTTCCACATAGATCCCAGAGATGGAAGTTATTGGGAATTCCTGTTAGACACAAATTAGACTTCGTGCATTGTGAATCTCTGAATTGAGTCCATTTCAGAAACTGTGTATTATTTAATTACATTTAATGTTTAACATTTTGTATCATGATAGGTATAAAGGTAAAACAATCTGAAATCTAGAGCATTCGCTATTCTGTCTGATCTTGATTTCTGTCCTAGAAAGTATCAAAATGTACATTTTATTAAAAGGCTTTTTTTTTTTTTAATCAATGCTACAGTGATGCATTTTAACTTTTTGGATGACGAAGTACTATGATAACTTCTAATGGATTAAGACCTAATGTGTGTTTTCCAACAACTATGTTTACAGTGCTGTTGAATATATATATATATACACAAATACAGCTGTATGAATACAGTGATTAATATGATAAATATGAGAAACATTAGAATTGCTATATTTACTACATTTCATAACTATTACAACAGCTTAATGGCCATTTTCATGTTGTAGACTTTTTATTCTGTACAGTTTTATAAGATTTAATGTAAAACATTTGCCTTGGTTTTGTTTTGTAAAACATCTCTTTTGATACTTAAGTGTCCACTGACATAACTCAAACAAAAAAACCTGTATCTCATTAATCACATTCAGGCATTTTGTCAGCAACTTCGATTACAAAAGACAACCTCCCTCAAAGAAGGTGCCATATGCTCTGGGTGTCACTATATAAAGGGACAATAGTACAGAGCAGGAGCATAAAATAGGTGGGCAAGGTCTCACTCGTGTGTTTTCAGATAGTGCTAATGAACATGTCTAATTATATTTGTGGAGGTGGAGTTTGTTTGTTTGTTTGTTTTTTAACTGGGCTTTTAGATTGTGTTTAGACCCATCAAAGTATAATTAAAAGCATTGAAACATCCAGCTGCAAGGGAGGTGTCTCTAAAATGAAAATAGCTAAGTTTTGTAAAACCAAATAAAGAATGTTAATGTTGAAACATGCAGCAAAGCCAGTAAAATGGAAAAAGATATGTGTGCTAACATAAAACCTTCTGTATTTTACAGAATGGCAAAAGCGTTAATATCACTTAGTGCTGCCTTCACATAATCTTAGTGAAAATCCATCTTCTAAAAAGGATGAAGACCTGCCCTGTATTTCCGTAGTTTGAGAGCAGCCCCAGTCTATTGAAGCATACCTGGGAATGCTGCTGGTTGTGTTGGTTTCCAGCCCCGGGCTGCGCTGGAGCCGTTCCCAGGTGTGTGGTGTCCCGTCGCGCGCAGGACGCGGGGCCGAGGCCTCCTGGAGCCGCGGCAGGTCGCCCGGCGGCTGCGCGCCCGCCGCTCCAGCCTGGCGGTTCGGGCCTGAGCTGTAAGCGACCAGATCTAACTCAGCAGCTTCCAAGTTCTTCTCACCTGCAGGGATTGAATCAAATACCCAGAACTTCAGTGTCTTTTTGAAGCCTTTTCTGCAACAGGTTTTGTGCTCTGAGCTCGGACCAGTGAGCCAGTTGTTTAATATTCAGCTGTAGCCAAGGAAGCTGTAGGAACCCTGCACTAAGCAAGTATTACTCACCCAGGGGATTTTTTTTTTTTTTTGCTAAATCTCATAATCTTGGTAAACAAGAACCTCAGAAAAGGTAAACATAGGAATTTTGGGTTTGGATTGCAAATACCTATATGATGTAGCATTCATCTCTGGTGCTAAATAGGACAACCCTTTTAAAGCTGTTCTAACAAAACTAAAATAATCCTGCTCACACTGTGGGGTGGGAGAGATTCCTCTGCTCATCTCACTGGATCCAATCAATATTTTAATCGAGACAGATTGTTACGAAACATGGGAAGAGGCCACGGGGACTCGGCAGCTGTTCGGACCGTTCACGCTAACGCACGGCCTTCCCCCGCGAGGGGAGCGCGGGTCGGGCCAGCAGGAACCTGCTCGCGCTGCGCTTCACAAACACTGCGGCTTTAACGGGCAGTGCAGTGGATTTTATATAATGGTTTAAGTGTTTTCTTTTTTCCAGGATTGACTACATTTACATATTAAAAAATATATATTTTCCATCAAACAGCTTTATACCGGCAAAGGCAAATAAACTGACTGTGTCAGATAGAGGAACTGTTTATTTTCAGATGGATAAAATGCCTATTTTACAAAAATCTCATTTCAGTATCAAGGACATTGTAATTCTCAGTAATTGCAAAAGTCTCAACTCAAAATACTTTTTAACTTGTTTACGTAAGCTCAATGTAAAATAACACATCAGTCTGAGAGCATTGCTGCAGCATTGCCTAACAGTTAGGAATTGTATTTAGCCACTGCTTCGTGAATGGTTGTTTTTCTGTGACTTTCCCTTAATGTTGCTGTGGCAGCATTTGTGATGCCCGCATTGGAAGGTAACTGCTGTCCTGCACTTGTGAGTAAAACCAGTGTACAGTTTTCTCTTGGTCGTGATGCCGGTGTCTTACTAAACGGGACAGAATCCCTGTGTGGGGACAGGCATTGCATGGCACTTCACTGCTGCTGGGCACCACGTGCTGCTAAGCCAGGCAAGAGGTTCGTGTGTCATGAGAGCCCTCTCTGGCAAGGAGAGGATCCGGGAGGAAAGTGAACATGGTCAGACAGCAACTACTGGCACCAGCGTTGCACTTTCCTTGCAAAACTGCGCTTCTAAAGAACCTGGCCTCTGATTTTCAACCTTCCATCTTTTTCTAGCTTGAATCCTCCTAATGCAGAGCCCCATCTTCAGGTTCTCCAGGTACTTTGTTGTTGCTTAGGGAATGGTGATTCTGATCTCTTGCTCTGTAATGAACCTTCTGGGGTACAGCTACCTGTCAGAGCTTGATAAGGGCAACACAACTAACAACGTCCCCCTGCTTTGGCTTCAGGGGCTGTGTGCACGGCTGGCTGTGGGATTCGCATCTGTTTCATCATTAAGTCAGATCTGCATTTCATATCGCCCCATTTCCTTCAGCTATTAGGATTTCACATGTGCCATAATTTTAAATTTGACTCTCTAATCCACAGTGAGTCTTTTCAGTATTGTGCTAATAGATGTTGTCCACAGTTTTTTTTATTTAATGTTAGGCGAGCCCTTTTGCTCAGATTTACTGAGCTATTCCTATTCAACACCGTGAGTGCTTAGCTTCAAGCAAGACCTCTTCAAATGCAGGGAGCTAAAAAACACGTTATGTAGATGCTAAGTAGAAATGAGACCTCTTCAAATGCAGGGAGCTAAAAACACTAAGTAGAAATGCTAAGCAGAAATGGACTCCCAAGTATCCTCTGTGGACCGAACTGAACTCTTTAAACAGATTTAAGGTGGGATTGAAATTACAGTCAGAATTTACTAACTGGCATGGCAGCAAGGGGATTCTAATGTTGTTTTGAGGACCTACCCATCATTTTAAATAGGAATTGGTTTATGCGCTGCCCACATGCCTCTGCACATTTCAACCTGTGCAAACAGAGTTTTCTGAAAATGTATCTTGTGTGCTGACCATTTTAGCATTTAACGGTCTAATGCTGGATTAGCCAAAGCATCTGAGTCACCTGTTTTCGTGTACAGCATTGCACTGTTCACGGAGCCTCTTTTATTGACCTAAGGCCTGTGCGTTTGTGAAAAGTGAAAGACCAGTCACTGTCACAGACCATGAGCTGTGACACGGCTCCCTCCAGAAGAGCCTGGGACGGCTTCCTCCGCTCGCCCCAGGAGTCCACAGTTATTCCCAATACGGAATTGTCTTCTGGTTTGCACTGCCACTCTCTAAATAGCTACACTAGTTTTAAATATTAAGAAACCAAAAAAAAATGGTGGCCAAGATAAAAAGAATGTTTAAAATTCATTCTGGTTTAGAGAGGATAAATTTCAGAAAAGTACCTTGAATGTCAAAGGGCAGATACTGCTACATGATAAAACACGCCTGGAAAACCACAAGGTTTCAGTTCCCTTCAGTTCCCTTCAGCACCATAGCAGGCCTATATACAAGAGACTGCTGCACTGAATACAGAAAGGCGGATTAAAACTTGCTCTGTAGTGAGGTTTCCAACTCCTGCCTAAGGCATGCCTCCTTTATTTATTATTTTATTTTCATTATGAGGAATGTATTCCAATTGCATGTGCTGCTGCTTAAGTGCTTGTACAGTAAATATCTGCAGCTGCTACAGCTCTTGTAAAAGGCTTCTG